GGGGGGGGGTATTTTTCGCCCAGGCCCCCGGCCACAGCCCCGGAGGAGGCCCCGGCACCCCCTTCTCCGACGCTCCCCCCTCCCCCTCCCCACCAGTCCCGACACTCGCAGCTGTCCCCTCCTTCCACCTTCCTAGACTCCCTCTCCGTATGTTCCCCCCTATCAAATCCACCCGGCGCGGCATCTCTCCCCCTCTCTGCCCACGCGATCACATCCGCGTGGGGACTCACCGCCGCCGCCGCCACTCTCCCTCCCTTCCTCCTCCCCCCCCTCCCATCTGACTCCCCCCTCCCCTTTGCTCCTCCGCAACGCCCCTCCCTCCCCACCACCACCACCACCATCATCATCGCTCCCTATCCCAACCGCTCCCGCACTCCCCTCTCCCCCTCTCCCTGTCCGCGCGCGCCTCCTGTTGCGCACCTCCCCGCACACCCGCACATACCTCCCCGCCACCATGCGCAAACCCTGCCACGTTCTGTTGCCTGCTCCTTCCTTCTTCCCTTGGGATGCCCCAATCCCCAGCCCGTCTCGGTATGCATGTTGTTCTTCCATCCGCGCCTGCCATCCGCCTCTCTCCTTCTCTCTCTCTTTCTTCCTCTTTCTCCCTCTTTCTCTCTCTCTTTCTCCCTCTTTCTCTCTCTTTCTCCCTCTTTCTCCCTCTTTCTCTCTCTTTCTCCCTCTTTCTCTCTCTTTCTCCCTCTTTCTCTCTCTTTCTCCCTCTTTCTCTCTCTTTCTCCCTCTTTCTTCCTCTTTCTCCCTCTTTCTCTCTCTTTCTCTCTTTCTCCCTTCCTCTTCCACTCACAGCCCCTCATCCTTTTCCTTGCCCCCCCCCCTCTCCCCCCCCCGCTCCCCACACACAATATCATCCTCCGGCCCATGCCCCCGCGTCTTGCCCCTCCCGCGTAGGCCGGCGGACCCTCCCTTCCCACTAACATGACGCAGTCTGCCTCCTCCACCCAGGCGGCCCATTCCTTCGATGCCAGCTCCCTGATTGACCCGCCAGATCGTCGGACGTCCGACGTCGCCGACACCAACGACGGCCCTTCCAGTGCCAAGCGGTATGTGTCCCTCCTCCCTTTCCCCCTCCACCTGGCGCCAGTCATCCTGCCCTTTGCTCACACATACACACACACACACACACACGCAGCCCCTACCAGGATGAGTCCGCGGAGCCCGCCCGCCGCGGGGCCCACGGCACCAGCACCGGCACCAAGCGCAACACCAGCCACGACGACCACGGGGCCAGTGGCAACGGCTCGTCGGGGGCCGGCATGACGTCGGCCTCGGCCGGCGGCATGTCCACCGGCTCGGGTGGTGCCTCGCTGGATCTCTCCGACCCGGCTGGCGCATACCAGGCGGCCAACACCAAGCGCCCGCGCCTGCTCGAGGGGACCAGCCACCCCCCCTCGGCGGTGCTGCACGTGCGCAACCTGCCGCAGGATGTCACCGAGATCGAAATCAACGAGATCATCCCCTACCCCGATCGGGTGGTCAAGATCATGGTCATGAAGAACAAGTGCCAGGCACTCATCCAGTTCTCCGATGTGTCCAGCGCCACGCGCGTCATCAGCTACTTCCAGACCAACAAGCCCTATGTCCGGGGGCGACTTTGCTACTTCCAGTACTCCTCGCGCAATGACCTGAATGAGCAGCGCTCGGCCACGTCGACCTCTGCCGGGGGGGCCGGTGGCCACTCCTCGGCCGGCAGTGGTGGCATGTCCATGCAGGGCGGCTTCGCCGGGCAGGTTGGCGCCTACGGGGCAGCCGGCGCGGCTGGCGGCTACTACGGCCAGGCAGCCGGCGGCCCGGGGGCCGCTGGCGGGGCCTACGCCGGGTATTCCGGGGCCGGGGCCGGGGCCGGCTATCCCGGTGCTGCTGGCATGCATGGCCAGGCCGCCGGCGCTGGCGGGTATCCCGGAGCCGGGGTCGGTGGCCCCGGTGGTGGCATGGACGCCTCCGGTGCCGGGGTCGTGACCCCGGCGGTGGGCGGCACCCCCGGCGCCCCGGGCCGCGTGCTTCACATCACCATCACCAATTGCAAGTACCCCATCTTCCTGGACACCATCATCCGGGTGTTCTCCTACCATGGGGAGCTTCGCCGGGCCATTTTGGTCGACCGGCGCCGGCAGAACCCCACCGGCCCCATCAGCAACCCGGACGATCACAAGGCCCTGGTGGAGTACTTTGACCCGGCGGCCGCCAGCATTGCCATGGAGTCGCTGCAGAACCAGTGCCTCTACGTCAATTCCGGCGTGATTCAGGTCCAGCTGTCGCACTTGCCGGAGCTGACCGTGCGCCAGATCACCGAGCGCACCTGGTGCTCCATGCTGGCCAACTATTCGGCGGCCGCGGCCGCGGCGGCCAGCGGCCACATGCTGACTCCCGGGGCCGGGGCCGCCGGCCACGGCGGGGATCACCACGCCGGGGCCATGGGCGGCCACCATGCGGCCGTGGCCGCGGCCATGGGGCACCATCATGGCGGCATGTCCGGGCACATGATGGCCGGCGGTGGCCAGGGCTCCGGCGCCGGCATGTATGGCGCCGGGCCCGGGGGCATGATGGGTGCCGGCGGCCCGGGTGCCGGTGCCTTTGGCCCGGTGTCGCCGGTGCTCGTGGTCAACCGGCTGAATGAGGAGCGCGTCACTTGCGACCATCTGTTCAACATCTTCAGCATTTATGGCGAGGTGGAGACCGTGAAAATCATGTTCTCCCGCCGCCGCACGGCCCTGGTGAAGTTCGCCAGCCCGGATCAGTCGACGCTTGGTGCGTGCTCGCTTGTGTGTCTGTCTTGGGTCTTTCCCCCTCCCCCCCCCCCACCACCACCAGCTCGTGGGCGGCGGCACCCCCTGTGGGGTGCAGTGAAGACCGCTTGCCCTCCTTTCCAACCCACCCGCCTCCGCTTCTCCCGCGCATGATGTTGACCCTGTGCCGATTGCCATGCTCACACCTTCGCCACGCGCCCGCGGTGGGCCTCGGCTGCCGCGGGGGCCGGCCTCGCCGTACACAGCCCTGCAGATGCTCAACGGTGTCAGCCTCTTCGGCTCGCCCATGGGCATCATGTACTCCAAGCACATGTCCATCAACCGGCCGTCCGAGAACAATCCCAACCAGGACCCGACCGAGGCCATGCTGACCAAGGTCTACACCGGGCCCCAGTACCAGCGCTACCAGCCGAATAAGGTGTCGGGCCGGATGCACCCGTCGCATGCCATCAAGCCGGCCCCGTCGGCCAGCCTGCACATCAGCAACCTGCCGATCGATGTGACCGAGCGCCAGCTCTCCGACCAGTTCTCCCGCTTCGGCATGGTGGTCGAGATGAACCTCTTCAAGCGCAAGCCGGAAACCCGCACCAACATGGGGATTGTCCGCCTGGAGTCCCTCGATGCGGCGGTCTCGGCCCTGGCCTGCCTCCACCGGACCAGCCTGCCCACGGCGGCGGTCTCGGCCGATGACGACCCGGATGCCGGGCTGGGCGCCGGCTCGCCGGAGCAGCTCCTCATGCGCATCAGCTTCGCCAAGTCTTCGGGCGGCGGCGGCGGCGGCGGCGGCTCTTCCGGCTCGGGCCACCATCATCACCACCACCACCACCACCACTCTTAAGAGGGGCGGGAGCAGCGAAGAGGGCGCCCTGGCGACCGGGAGTATGGCAAGAGGGGGCGGGGCGCGGGGGAAAGACGTGCGGGACTGCCGCTCGACCCGGCGGCGGCCCATTTGTCTGTGTGCCTTCCCTCCCGGTGTTTTTCCCCCCCGGCCCCTCCCCCCCCCCCCCCCCCGTCCCGCCGTCTGCCTGCCCGCTCTTTTTTCTCCATGTGCTGCCCTGGGTCTTGCGCCCTCTGGCGTGATGTGCGCGTATGTGCCCCCCTGCGCGCGCGCGCACACACACACACACACACATGCACACCGCATCTCCGCGTGGCTTGCCTCTTCTTCGGTCCATCTGGGACGATAGAGCCCCCAGCTGGTGACCGGAGGTATGAGAGGGAGTGCACGGCGGGGAGAGGGGGGCGGCCAGGCATCTCCCCTCCGACCATCTCTCTGTGTGCCTTGTGTTCGTCTGTGCGCGTGCGGCAAAAAATACAGCTCTCTTCTGGCCGTTGCCCTGTCGTTTTCCGCGGCTGTCTCTCTGTGTGTGAGGCCAAGGGGCGGTGGGACAAAAGAAGAAATCCACAGGCGGCTCCGGGCACACGGGAGGGCCCCATATACGACGCATGGTCTGTGTTGGGGCAGGGAATGGGCGGCGCGAAAAAGTATGGAGGCGGAGGGTATCGATCCCCCTGCCTGCCGCATGCTAAGCGGCCGCTCTACCATTTGAGCTACGCCCCCTCGCCAAGAGGACCCTGTCAAGGGTATAAAACATGGATTTTCCGGAAGATCGTCTAGTGCGTTTCACATCTCGCCATGTGCGGTCCAGCGTATGGGTGTGCCCCCCGTGCAAAAGAGGGCGGGGGCGATAGGCCGGCACGGCGAGACACACGGAGACAGCGAGCGCGCGAGAACCAGCGGGAGATAGGGACCGGGAGAGAGAGATCCAGAAGCGCCCTGGACAGTGTGGTGGGCGGCGGGAAAAACGGGGGCCGCGGTCAATCTAGCGAGATATGTCCCCGTTCCTGGGCAAGGGGGAGCATACGCCACACCCCCCCCCCCCCCTCCACACACAGCACACAGCGCACTGTACACACAAAAACACACACAGACACACACTCCTACACACGTCAGGTTAGATGAAAGGACCAAGGCAGGGGCGGGCGGGTGGCAAGGCTGGCCTTGCCCCCTTGCCGGCACGATCAGCGGCCCATCCGTGGGCCGATCGGTATCCACCCCCCCCCCCCCCCCCATCGGCCCCGCGACCATCGGGCAGTGCCGCACAATCCACGCACTCCCAAAAGGCGGGATAGCCTTGCGGCCTGGGCATGCCGCGGGCGGGCAACAGCCTCCCCAGTTGCCCTTCCTCGCCCTGGCCACTTCTTGCACTGATCTCGGGCGCACCTCCTCCTCCTCCTCCTCCCCTTCTGCCCCCTGCCTGCCTGCTCTTCGGTCTTTCTTTCGTCACCACGAATTGGCCCCCC